CCCGGCAACAGGAAGACAGATTCATGGGGAACTGGGAGGCGGTGTGGTAAAGACAGAAGCAGTTCATCCCAGGGATGTGGATCTTGCCAGTTTTTCAAGATAGAAAAATAAACCTCTCAAGTCAAAGGCTTCAGATGAAACATCTAGTTTCACAGAACTTTTAATTCACGTGTAATCCCTATTGTTCTTCTTCAGAAAGTACAGGGGCGTCTGGGTGGCTCTGTAGGTTAAGCGTCTGACTCTTGATTTCAGCTCAGGTCGTGATCTCACAGTTCGTGGGTTCAAGCCCCACGTTGGGCTCTGCGCTGACTCGCGCAGAGCCTGCTTGGGATTCTCTCTCCCTCTCTGCCCCTCCCCCTCAAAACAAATAATAATAAAAAAAACTTAAAAAATTAAGTACAAAACTTCCCATTAATTTCTCAAAAGTAAATACTCCACAGAAGCAGCCACCTCCGAGGTTTGTAAAGATCTATAGTGAGAAGCTTCTCAGAATCAAAGCAATGGTGTAACTGAAACACTGATCACTGGGTGAAAACCAAGACTGGGGCGACTGTCCCCACACGTCTCTGAATGGCGGCTGGTGGCCCAGCTGCCACATGAAACGCTCTTGCAGCTGGAAAATACCAGATAAGTCCCTAGTAACAAAACTAGTATGAACCACTAGAAACTATTCTCCTTTTCTAAAGGTACTGCAATAGTGGTCCTCATCCACCTTAAGATCTGTATTAGAGTAAGAAAACAATGAGAATTCGATTCATTTCCTGGTTATGCTTCAATAAATGTTCTACACACAATTTGCATCTGTGGTGTGTGCGTCCTCAAGCACGGGAAAGATAACGTTACTGATGTGCTTTTAAAAAAGAATCAGATGTGGGGCGCCTGGGTGGCTCAGTCGGTTAAGCGGCCGACCTCGGCTCAGGTCACGATCTTGCGGTTCGTGAGTTTGAGCCCCACGCCGGGCTCTGTGCTGACTGCTCGGAGCCTGGAGCTGCTTCAGACTGTGTGTCTCCCTCTCTCTCTGCTCCTCCCCCACTCACACTCTGTCTCTCTCTCAAAAATAAATCAACTTTATAAAAAAAAAAAAGAAATTGTTTAAAAAACAACAGACGTCCACACCTGTACATCTAAACCCACACTCGTGCTTCCCACCACGTGGCCGCTCTGGGCTCTGCCTGGCCAGGTCCCTATGGTCAGACGTGTGTGTCCCCACGTCCTCATGTTGGACCTCGCACGGTGAATCTGCAGCCCACGTGGCTGAGTCCCAAGAGGAGCTCTAGAAGTAAACTCAGAACTGCTGGGGCACAGAGTAGATGCATTTTAAATATTAATGCATGTTACCAAACTGTCTTCCAAAAGGCTTCGTTAATGTATCCTTCCCCCACCTTTGCAGCAGAATGCCTATCGGCATATTCCTTTCCTCACATGGGGTATTAAAACATTTTAATTCTCTGCTAATTTAATAGCAGACACTAAAAATGAGTATTTTCCTATATTTATTGGCTGTTTGTACTACTTTTCCAATGAAAAATCTGTTCCCACCCTTTGCTCATTTTTTTTTCTCCTGAGCTGTTCATCTATTTCTATAGATTTGCAAGAATTCTTTGTATGTTAACAGAATTAGCCGGTTTCTGTAGTATGTGGGCAATATTTTTCTAGTTTAGTATTACTTTTTTACTTAAATGCATCCATTCTTTCCTTAACGGCTGCAAGACACTGTGCTGTCTTGCCATATTCCAAGGTTATGGAAAAAATGTCATTGATATTCTCTCCAAGTACTTAAAAAATAAACACCTTTACCGTTTTCCAAGCTAAATTGTCCCAACACATTTAAAGAATACTGCATCATATTCCTCTGACATTTCCAATCCTAGTCTATACCACAACCAACAACTGGACTATGTTTTACAGATAAGGGATCCCCCCCATGAACTAGTAAAGGGAGAAAAAGATCACAGTGGGTCATTGTGATAAAAGTACCCTGTTCTCTCCTCTACACCAGTGACTGCATGACCTCTGCAGCTGCTCAGTAAGCAGCTAGAACCAGAAGGTACCTCAAGCACCCTGAAATGAGGAGTTTTAAGAAAAACCCAAGGAAGTGCTTTTTACATGTTAAATTACAAATTTATGAACTAATTACTCTGACATGTAGGACAGGTTAAGAATACAAAGTCAAGGAAGGGTCAGACAGATTAAAAAATAGCAGGCTCAAAATAAGCTATTCAAGGAGATCTGCAGACAGATAGAACCTTTTAGAGAGATTAAAAAAAAAAAAAAAAAGATACACGATTTAGAGGAAAGATACAACAGTCAGAAAGTTGGATAACCAGGAGCTAAATGCAGGGCTTTAATCTGCATGTGTGGGAAGAAAGCCAAATTTCAAATCATCGGTGCCGAGGACAGCAGACAGAGGCTGGTTCGGAAGTGAACGGTGTGCGGAGGGGACAGGGGGCGTGCCCTGCACGGCCTGACCGGGGGACAGAGAGAGCCGGCGCCTCTGACATACTTGTCCTCCAAATAAGACTGACCTCTGGGAGAGAACACAGTGCCAGAGTAATTAGAAAATCCCAAGAGGCACATCCCTGGGACAAAAACAGTATTTTCTCATTGACATCCAGAAAATGAAAGAATGAGTAAACGCGACAGCAAAAGTTTTAAAAGCTATTAATTGATAATGGCTGCCTGGTTTCTTGGTCAGGACAGTTTTCATGGTATGTATGAACATCATCACCATTTTGGCCTATTTAAGTTATTTTCCTATCCCAGATAACCGAAAGCATAGACGGTTATTAAAAATATTTTTACTTGATTTAAATTAAATCCAAATGCTCAGTTAATTATGGTCATGCTTGCTTTATTTTGTTACTTCTAGTTTCAGTTCACTTTTTCTTTGCTTTCAAAGGATCTGGCTAGATTTAGTATGTCCGAACGGATTAGTAAAATCCAACTTCGAAAAGGTGGTTATATTTTCTTCTAAATAACCTGGAAGAAAAAACATTTATACTTATGCTAATCCGTCTGTATTGCTACATTTAAACACCGAGGAAGCTATTTCACAACAGGACAAGACTGGAGCCTGACTGCAACTTTGTGTGCAGAGTGCTTCAGCCTATCCTGAGATAATGGTTGATGTAGGTCCTTGAATTAAAATAAGACGAACTGGGATGCCTGGGTGGCTCAGTATGTTGAGCATCCGACTCTGATCTCGGCTCAGTCATGGTCTTGCGGTTTGTGTGTCTGGGCCCCACGTCCAGCTCTGCACTGACAGCAAGGAGCCTGCTTGGGATATTCTCTCTCTCTCTCTCTCTCTCTCTCTCTCTCTCTCTCTCTCAACACTAAAAAAATTTAAAAAAAAATAAGATGAATATTTCCATCTTTTGTTTCCTTCATTTATTCTACGATCATCTGAACATCATTCCCTTTTATTAAAATGTTGTCTTTTACTCAGTGCAAACTCATTTCCCTGATGTTTTTGTCTAACTCAGTGAACTCAGCTGGTTGACTTTGCGCCCAGGGGACGTCTGGCAACATCTGCAGATAATTTTGGTTGTTACAACTGAGGGCAACGGGATGTTACTGGCATGTAGTGAATCAAGGCCAGGGGTGCTGCTAAACATCACAACCTGAAGCTCAGGCCCCAGAGGTCAACAGTGCTCGCGCTGAGAAGCCCTGGTGAAACTTCAAGGAAGGTTTAACTACCATGGCTTCACAGTTTAAAAAATATTATTTTATTTTGTTGAGAGAGAGAGAGAAAGTGCAAGCAGGACAGGGGGGCAAAGAGAGGAGGAGGAGGAGGAGGAGGAGGAGGAGGAGGAGGAGGAGGAGGAGGAGGAGGAGGAGGAGGAGGAGGAGGAGGAGGAGGAGAGAGAATCTTAAGCAGGCTTCGCACTCAGCACAGAACCCAACACGGGGCTTGATCCCACGACCCCGGGATCATGACCTGAACTGAAATCAAGTGGGACACTCAACTGAGCCACCCAGGTGCCCCTAACTACTACTGTCTCACATTTTATCTTGCGTAGTCTTTAACTGCCCAGGGTCCTCAGGTATTACAGAGTTACAAAATACAGGCAAATGCTCAACTGTGGTGATCACTCTGCCTCTGAATTTTCAGTATTTGGGTCAGACTAAGTTGTAACTCAGGATGTCCATCAAAAGCTATCTAAAAATGTGTAAAACCTGCAGTTAACATATGGTAATAGCACTTTGAGAAATTCTCTTGGAAGGTTAAAATATAAACATTCTGTACGCAAATAATTCTCAAGTGATACGACTATTAGGCTTCACATAATTCAAAACCTTTTTTGTAGTTAAAGAGTATCACGAAATAACATCCCCTGAAGCCGAGTTGCTTCTAAAGATTTAGGAAGGGTAACATTTTGATGTCCATCTTCTGACTGTTCTTGCTGACACTCGCCCAAGGTAATCATTTTACAATAACTAGGCAGAGTCACCTGAACTGGTGAAACTTTCCTTAAAATCAATGTAGAATTTCGGTGTATTTTTCCCAAATCATCCCACTATTGTAAGTTTTCTAGAAGCAATACAAGATACCGAGTGCTAAGTGCTGGATTTGCAGCCACTGTTACACGTGTAGTGTCCACAAGACGTGGGGGCTCTGAGAGTGTAACGACCATGTCAAGGTCTGAGAAATCGTCTCCTGTTTCAGCCGGAGTTTTGACACAGATCACCTCAGCACAGGACCCTGCTTTTCTTTCCCCACCTGAGAGGATATTTGTACCTTACAAGGTCCGTGTTCATATCATGCCAGACTTTTAAAAGCAACTCTCAATGAACACCCTGCATTCTCTCTTATAATCATCTTTAAAAACAGTGTTTAACCCGCCTAACAGGCAAGTTCTTTGTTAATACCCAACAGAAACGCCACACACACATCTAACAGCTATTTTGTTTATGCTTTCCGGGGATGGCAATGGCTCGGAGGCATCACAAGCTCTCACAAATGCGCTGTGCTCAGTCCAGCCAGATGATGGAAGACTCACCTGGTTATTACTGTTGGCAGCTGATGAATTGGCCTGAGTGGCACTCGCTGAGAGAGAATCGAGGAAGGCTTGGTCAGCCACTGAATTTCCACAAGAAAATGGGTCTTTTCCATCATTGGGCAAAATCTGAGTATTAGAAAGAACCACAGTTACTTTCATAGATTAGGGTTATCTCAGAGTTAGAGTCTGAGGGCAAGCAAGAGTTGTCATCTATTATGGAAAAGGGGTTTATATTTTTAAAAGGTAAGCAAGCCCCAGAACATCTGTATTAACCATCCCTTTCTAGAAGTATGCAGAGTTCTAGAAAATGCAATTAATGCCAGCACTAACTTAAATCCTTAGATTTTTCTCATTCTTGTTTATTTTTAGAGTCCTGAATACACAGTGCACCGAGGTAAAGCACAACATAAGTATAAGACAGGTGGACTGAGTCCAGGGACCCGTGAACCCTGTGGAACTCTACAGAAGAGGTTGGGGTACACGCACGTGCACATATTTCCGAGAGAAGGGCCCCAGATTTCATCAGATTCTACAGAGGGTTCAAAACTCCCCACCCCAACTCTCGATCAGAACAACAGACAGTCTTCCCATTCTGCAGGCAGTGCCCAGGTAAACATCCTCCCAGGGCATTATTCCTCTCTGCTGGAGGGGAACCATAGGCACCTTGTTCTTGTTCAGTTTTACTCCCAGGGCACCAGGCCACCTTAGTTTCAGTCACCTGAGTGGAAAGGCAAGCTCAGTTCCCAGGACTCAATTTTGAGTGACCTACAGACAACCAGCAGGGGGCGCCAGGAGGCTGGCTCAGGGTGGGCTGGGGGGTGGTGGTCAGCTGAGTGGGTGTGTCCCAGGCAGGGAGGCTCCTCCCAGATGCTGTAACACTATCCTTGGCATCTATGGGAATACAGCTTAAAACCAGGCAATAGGTCCCAGAAGTTAGTTCATCCAAGACCCTCTGTCTATGGAAATGGGGAGAAGGAACTGAAGAGATATGTCCGAAACCAGCACAGAGAGAAGAGAACTACTTCAAAAAAAAAAAAATCTTTTTAAACTTTGTGAATGAACTCTGTAATGTAAACAGCATTATAGGCAGCAGCAGCTATTACACAATATAAACACAGGAAAAATAGGGGCATTTATTCAGAGTAATTAAAAGTTGTTCTCCCTAAAAGGAACTTAATCTAAATATGGAGTCACTCTTTGGAGCACAGGTCTATAGGTAATATTTTTTCTTAGTTCTACTTCAATGTATCGTTCATATTTTACATAATTACCAGGTATTACTTTTACAGTGGAAACTTTCTGATTAAAAATAAAGTTGCTACTTTCCATAATTCATAAAAAGACGTTTGACAAAGACCAGGTTTTACTATATGACAATAAGTTCTTACTTCGACATAGTCTGTGGGAACAAGCCCTCGTTCTCCTTTGCTGTTTCTTCCTTCTAGCCATCCTCCACCAACATCCTAGTAACGTTTAAAAAGAGAAAAGAAAAAAGACCAAGATTACAGTTGGAGTTGCCTGCAAAATTTTGCTTCGGGAGTTGTCATACAGGAAAAAATAATTAACGTTAAGCTCTTTATTCCCACCGATCTAACACTGTTCAAAGTTTTAAATTCCCAAGCCTTCTCTTTTACTTTAGAAAATGATATAATCTGAAAACATTAAACAAGTAATGAAGATTGCAAAGTAGCCCATTCAACAGAACAGAATGCCATCATTGCGTAATTCCTTTCTATTTATCGGTTGGTGGCAGACTATAAAAATGGTTCGCAGCTCCGACTGTCAAGAGGCAGAAGGATACCACCCCCTCTGGAAGCCGTGATGTGCTTGGTGACCTCTATGGCCAACAGAATGAGGTGGAAATAATACGGGGTGAGTTCAGAGTCTGGCCTCAAGGGGCTTTGCACACTTTTTTCAAAAGAGCTGCTGTGGGAATAATCTGGGTTGCCAGATGATGACAAAAAAAGGCCCAATTTCCTTGTTGCCCCAACCAAAGTCAGCCACCAGGAGGGGAATCGCCAGGCACATGCGTGAGCACAGGTTAAAGCACTTGGCCCAGAGCTGCCCACCAGGTGACTGAAGACAGGAGAGGCATCTCAGGTCAGTAGAACCATCCAGCCAACCCATAAGTTCTTGAGCAAAGCGGCAAAAGGTTTTTCGATTAAGCCACTAAGCTTTGAGATTGCCTGCTCTTTAGGAAAAGCTAACCAATCCATAGTTCCTTAGCTCTTCTGGATAAACAATATTAAATAATAAAGTCCTCTATACCAGAATTCCCACTTTCCAATCTATTATCTCAACAAAGACCTACCTTTTCACCTTATAATAGTAAGAGTTGTCAAGTTTATAAATCGTGTCTTCGTTAATACCTGAATCTAGGTAACACATTCTTCTTCAAAAATCACTTTAAGCCACAACTTTGTCCATTTGTAACCATGACAGCAACTTAAATTCAATACTACTTTACCAAGAAATCAAGATGATTTCTCCATTAAGAAAAATCAGAAGGGTAAAGAATCTTTAATTTCTCCTATGATTAAAAATAGGACCTAGGTACTTATCTACACCTGGTGTATTATCTAAAGCTCATATACTGTTCCTACCCAGTGATTCTTTTTTGTATCTAAAGCACAGAGGACAAGTTTTGAAAACAGTACCAATATTAAGAAGCCATCATTCTCTTGCTCATTCGCTGTCCTCTGTCCCTGGTCTCCGTGCTGCCCTCGGTCCCTCCCACCTGGGGGAGCCCCAGCATCTCCCCCTTTCCTTCCCAGTGCCTCTCGGTTGTCCTGGCAACCTTCCTCACAGGCTACTCCCTGAGGTGTCCAGGGAGCTGGCCTATTCCCAGCTCTTACCCCCAGCTCGGCATTTCCATTTTTATGATGCAAAGCTGTAGGGAAGGGCTAATTATTCGCTTTTCTTCAAACTCTACACATCCAACAAGAAACTCATTTAACCTTTCCAAAGAAGCTCTTCTTCATGACTCGTATACTTTAATAAATCTACCATTCTCTTAGGCTAAAGGTCAGAGCCAAAAACCTTATGGATCCTTGCCTCTTTTCTCCCACCAGTATCTAACCTGACACCAAGTCCTCTGGGACTGACTCCACAAAGCCTGCCGTGTCTAGCTTTTTCCAACTCCTGTCGCTACCGCCGAAAGGCGCATTTCCAGACTCCAGCCACACCAGTTCGTTCAACACACCTCTGCTAGGTTAATTTCCCTGAAGTGCAGGTGTCATCTTGCCACCTGCCTACGACAGCATCAACAATAAAAACCAAGCAAAGCTCTTAAAAGAATCCACTACTTACAGATGAAGCCCAAGGTCTACAGCCTGGCCCACAGGTCCTATCCCATCTGGCTAAGAGCCAGTTTTCTTAGCCTGTCTGCTACTGGCCTACGTGTACCCTGCACCCTTGGGAACCCTTGTTTACATGTAGTGTTCCCAGCAGAGAGCAAGAGCAGAGGCTCAGAGGCTCAACAGCTGTGGCTTTGAATCCTTGCCCCGCCACTTACAGGCAAAATGATCTTGAGCAAGTTGCTTAACCTCTAGGTCTCATTACCCTCATTTGTAAAACAGAGATGAAAAGTCCTTAGCTCATGGAGTTCATGGGGAAAACACATTCAAGAATACACGTGTAGTATCAGCCAAACATCTGGCTCGTAGGGCTGTCAACCAACAATAGCTGTGACTTCCAAGAAACACTGAATACGTTCTAATCTCTGTACCTGTGATCTGGCTGGGATCTGGCTGGGATGTCTCTTTCCATTTCTGTCTGATGGAACCCCATCCAACTACCTTTAGAGGACTTAACTTTTATCAATGTTTATAAAATAGAGTCTTACTTCATCATCAATACTTCATAAGCACCAGAAAAAAAATTCGTGTCGGTGTGAATGATCAATTTATTAAATCCTTAAGAGACAATCAGGTTTAAACCTAATAGTTGTCTTACCGGATTTGTAATTGTGATGATTTCTCCTTCATTAACCGTCAGTTCGTTATTTCCAGGTTCAGCAGCAAAATCATACATAACCCGAGCCTATTGGGAATAGAGACAAGCAAAGGAAGTTACAAACATAAACTTAACAGTAAAAAAAACAACCTTTATTGTCCACTTTGTAAACATGCTGGTAATGAACAAACACTTCGTGGCTGTGGTTATTTTGAAATAAAGGAAGACATATCACCAAAATGATTCATCAGCCCTATTGTGAGGAAAAAGGACACCAAGAATGAGAGCCCCTACTCTGTTTTGGAAAGAAGAAGGGTGGCCCATGCTGCATTTAGAGATCAGCCCCCAAGGTGTTCTCAAAATACACTTGTTTCATAGGCGGGGGTGGGGGGTGGGGGGTGGGGAGGGGTAGGAAGCACACCTTTTCTTTAAAGAGGTGAGAAGTGGAAATAGAGATATCGTTCATTCTGGGCCCACTCACTCTCAGGGACTGAAGGAACACACACACACACACACACACACACACACACACACACGTAAGATTCATACATGTTTAGATTATTCCCTGGCAGTGAAAATGTTCACTATGCTTTATCTAGAGCCACTGGGATGAATTTTAATAGTGCAGTACCCCTGGCCAACTGAACTCAGAATTTCAGATGTGGGTGGCAAGATGTATTTACATACTTCTACTAGAATACTTCCTACTATGCAGTGATCTACACGGGGCTGTGCATACTGGCCAGGTAACCTAACAGCTGTGATTTGCAAACGTTCCCTGCAATAAAATCGTAACTTCGTGGAAAACTGACCAAAGGAAAGCTGTTTTGGTTGACGTAAGCAGCTGTGCAGAATTCCCAGGAATTCTGCCACGCACATATTCCAAGACAATCAGTGTTGTAAAAAACATGTCTTTTATATACTTTTGTAGTATTTAGTGAATATACATTTTTAATGCACTTCAAATTCTAAATATTTGTCTTTCATGGATTATCTCATAAAAGAAGGTCCATCATAAACTGGGGATAACATGTACTTAGGAAACATAGGGTTTATTTTCAAAGTAACTGTCCCAAGCAGCAAGTTCAAGTATATGCACAGGGCTAGTCAAATAGGACTAATGGAACTGCACTCTCTTAACAAATATTTACTGAACACCCACCATATGGCGAGAACTGTTCTTGCCAGTGAACTCTCCCCACACTTGCGTAATGATGCCTGAAATCCTTAGAACAAGGATTAAGGATTCACATCTAATGATAAAAGGTTAAAGAAAAAAAAAAAACTCCAAATACTAATTTATTTTGAAACCCATTAAGAATAATAAGATGGACTGACGCATGAAAATGCAATAAAGCAGGCACAGCAAAATGTTATTTATAGAATCTAGATGGTAGGTTGATGGTGTTCAAAGGAAAAGGATTTTGATTTTTCTACATGTTTGAGATTTTTTTTTTCATTACAAAATGTTAGAAGCAAATGCTAGTTTACTGTCTGTCAGTCACAGAATGGCATCGTCCTGGACTTCTGTCCAGAGAGGCTAGGAAGGGGGCTGAGGGGGCAGGTCGCAAGCACTGAGAACTCTGTGAGCATGACAGCTGTCCTGAGGTCATTACAAGGACAATGAAACTGTGAGGCCTTTTTTCTCATACAGCTGCAAAAGTAGATAGAATTCTTCTAGTCCCATTGGGGGGTACTTTTTAAAAACCATGTCACCCCAATCTCAATTCCTCATGAAATGAGGGCAGGTGCACATAAATGTGTGAGGGGGGTGAGGAGGGTCCTTGGGGCCAGGACACAACCCCCAGGGCTGCGGGCTTCCTGGGAAGGGCCCCGGTGTGCACACAAGAGCCAGACGTGGAACCTGCTGTTTTGTTATTGCTTTTTTTTTAAGAATCTTGGCTAACAATTTTTTAATCTGGCTAAATCTAAGCCCCAATACAGAATACCAAAGCCTCTTCCTGTGTGCCAAAAGTTGTGTATCAAACTTGTGACTTGGTGAAACAAGTGAAAAACTAAAAATGGACACCCCCTTACACATTTAAATATGACTGAACGTTAGCCATGGAAAAATGTATGCAAACATTACAGGTTTACATAAACACTGATTTAAGCCTTATTGAAAAACAAACACCTAGAGATGCTTCTTAAAAATTAGAATGGGAAGAAATTTTGGAGAACAAAAGAACACAGAAGAGAACAACAACAAAAAAGCACCTCCCCAAATGAGCTTAACATGTCAAGAGAAAACAAATTTCAGCAACTCCTCTGATCTTATCAAGTTCAGGTGGCCTGGAAGTGCTGTCTTCAAAGCCTTGGGGCGCTATCTCCCATTACCTCCTTTTTTATTCCCATCCTTGTATCTGGCTTCCGTCTGACTTCTCCCTCTCTCCCCCATCACCTCCCAGTTTCCCCGTCTCTACCACTGACAGTATTTGAAGAGGCTCACCCCCACCCCCACTGCCCATCAGTCCCACTATGTTTCTTTCATGCCGCCTTTGACAGAAAAAGCCCATTTTAAAAAAAAAAAAAAAATTTAATGTTTATTTAATTTTCTAGAGAGAGAGAGAGAGAGAGACAGAGTATGAGCTAGGAAGGAGGCAGAGAGAGAGAGGGAGACACAGAGTCCAAAGCAGGCTCCAGGCTCTGAGCTGTCAGCACAGAGCCCGATGCGGGGCTCGAACTCACAGACCATGAGATCATAATCTGAGCCGAAGTTGGATGTTCAACTGACTGGGCCACACAGGCACTCCGGAAAACTCCAGTCTTTGATACTGCTTTCCCCAGTACTGGCTACACTTTAAGAAATGATTCAAGTATTTTCGGGAGCTAAGTGTCTACACAGATCCTGGGCAGATGATGTGATACCGTATGCTGAACACACGCCGTCAACAGTAACTAATCTCTTCAATAGCAGTACCAGAAAGTATTTCAGACGAAGGTCAAGAGATAGTAGACAGCAGCCTTAAACACATCTGGCTCCATTATCTGGCTACAGGCAAATAAACATTAGCAGATCCAAAGCTCTCAACGTTCCAGGCACTGGAATACTAAATGTGCTGCCACACACCTGATCTGTGCATAATCCATCATCCTTGACACAGATTTCCTTTTGAGGGAAGAGAGACAGGTATAAAAATATTCAATCCTCTTGACCAGGTTGTAAGCATTTATTATTCTGTCTGCTTCACATCTCCTTTCTGGAAACTGTTCCTGCCTTGACTCTAAGTGACTGGTGAGCATATAATCCAAACAGGAATAATTCGAACTCTTTCCTAGAAATATACAGCTGCTGCGGAGCATGGATGGTTAATTTTCTCTGAAAATGTCGCCAATGGCTAACTAGTTGAGGTATGGAGAAGGTCCATCTCTGGTGGAGTGGAATGGCAGAGAGAGAGTGTCCCAAGGAGATCACTTGAAGGACAAGCCTGAGGCTACTTCTGCTTGTGGACCTCTCAGTCACAAGAGCCAATGGATTTTTTTGTGTGCCTACGTTAATGTGAGTTCAGATTCTGTCGCACAAACAAGAGATCCAAGCTGATACAAACCAATAATCCCAAACCAAAGAATTTATTAAAAGGACATTCTAAATAAAGAGCAACACTGGATAGAAATATACTACTGCATTTCCTATTTTGCAAAACAAAAAACAAAACACTAGAACCTAAAATGAACAAGAAAGAATTAAACAGTTCAAGATGACCAAAAAACTGTCAGCAAAGAAGTCCATAAGGCAGTAAGAATGCAGAAGGCAAGCCCCCATTCTTAAGGGTCTGATTCTCTGGTTTCACATAAATCACAATTAAATCTTTGGGGGAAAGCAGCCCATCTTCAGCAATGCAGCTACCTCATTTTAAAAACAGAGACACTCAAGTAAAAGCTAAAAAAAAAATTCAAGGGATGGACAGATTTATTAATTTGACACCCTTGAGACCGGAAGTTTTGCATGTAAGTGATATTTCTATATAACTAGTTCACCTTTCCAAATGCCAAACTTGTTTTACTTAAGCACACTCATTTGACTTTTTGTGAAATCGTAGCTTATCCCTTGTCCTGTAGGTTTTTTTTTTTTTTTCCAAATCTTCATTTAAATTCTAGTTAGTTAACACATAGTGTAATATCAGTTTCAGGAACAGAATTTAGTGATTTATCACTGACATATAACACCCAGTGCTCATCACAAGTGCCCTCCTTAATACCCATCATCCATTTACCCCATCCCCACCCTACCTCTCTTCCACCAACCCTATTTATTCTGTATCATTAAGAGTCTCTTATGATTTCTTCCCTCTTTTTTCCCCATCCCATATGTTCATCTGTTTTGTTTCCTAAATCCCACATATGAGTGAAATCGTATATTTGTCCTTCTCTGACTTATTTCACTTAACACAATACACTCTAGCTCCACCTACAGTGTTGCAAATGACAAGATTTCGGGTTTTTTTGATGGCTGAATAATATTCCATTGTATATATAGGCCACATCTTTTTTATCCATTCATCAATTGATGGACACTAGGGTTGTTTCCATAGTTTGGCTATTGTTGATAACGCTGTTATAAAATCAGGGTTCACGTATCCCTTTGAATCTATATTTTTGTATCCTTTGGGGAAATACCTAATGGTGCAATTGCTAGATCATAGGGTAATTGTTGTTTTTTGTTTTTTTTTTTTTTTTTTTTTTTTTTTTTTTTTTTTTTTTTTTTTTTTTTTTAACATTTTGAGGAACCTCCAACTGGCTGCATCAGTTTGCATCCCCACCAACAATGCTAGAGGGTTCCCTTGCTCTGCATCCTCACCGGCATCTGTTGTTTCCTGGAGTTAATTTTAGCCATTCTGACAAGTATGAGGTGGTATCTCATTGTGGTTTTGCTTTGTATTTCCCTGATTATGAGTGATGTTGAGCATCTTTTCATGTGTCTGTTGGTCATCTGGATGTCTTTAGAAAAATGTCTATTCATGTCTTCTGTCCATTTCTTAACTAGGTTACTTGTTTTTTGGGTATTGAATTTGGTTAATAAGTTTGTTTGTTTGTTTGTTTGTTTTTTACAGATTTTGGATGCCCTTTATCAGGTTATGTCATTTGTAAATATCTTCTATTCAGTAGGCTGACTTTTAATTTTGTTGATTGTTTCCTTCATAGTGCAGAAGATTTTTAATCTTGATGAAGTCCCAATAGTTCATTTTTGCTTTTCTTTCCCCTACCTCTGGTGATTTGTCTAGTAAGAAGTTGCTACGGCTTATGTCAAACAGGTTGTTGCCTGTGTTCCCTAGGATTTTGATGGTTTCTAGTCTCAAATTTAGATCTTTCATCCATTTTTAATTTATTTTTGTGTATGGTATAAGAAACTGGTCCAGTTTCATTCTTCTGCATGTTGCTGTCTAGTTTTCCCAGCACCATTTGTTGAAGAAGACTGTCTTTTTTCCATTGGATAGTTGTACCTACTTTGTTGAGGGTTTTTATCAAGAATGAATGCTGTATTTTGTCAAATGCTTTTTCTGCATATATTGAGAGAACTGCATGGTTCTTATCCATTCTTTTATTAATGTGATGTATCACACTGACTTGTGACTACTGACCCATGCTTGTAGCCCAGGAATAAATCTCGATTGTGGTAAATAATTCTTTAAATGTACTGTTGGATTCAACTTGCTAGTATCTTGAGAATTTATGCATCCATATTCATCAGAGATACTAGCCCATAATTCCCTATTTTGGTGGGGGTCTTTGTCTGGTTTTGGAATCAAGGTAATGCTGGCCTCAGAGAATGAGTTTGGAAGTTTTCCTTTGACTTCCATTTTTTGTAACAGTTTGTGAAGAATAGGTATTAACTCTTCTTTAAATGTCTGGTAGAATTCCCGAGGGAATCCATCTGGCCCTGGACTTTTGTTTGTTGCGAGATTTTTGATTACTGATTCGATTTCTTGGTTGGTTATGGGTCTGTTTAAATTTTCTATTTTTTCCCGTTTCAGTTTTGGTAGTTTCTATGTTTCTAGGAATTTGTCCATTTCTTCCAGATTGCCCAGTTAGCATAGAATTTTTCATAATATTCTCTTATAATTGTATTTTTGTGGTGTTGGTTGTGATCTCTCCTCTTATGTTCATGATTTCACTTATTTGGGTCTTTTTTCTTTTTTATAAGTCTGGCTAAGGGCTTATCAATTTTGTTAATTCTTTCAGAGAATCAGCTCTTAGTTTCATTGATCCGTTCTACTGTTTTTTGTTTGTTTCTAGACTGTTTATTTTTTGAACTAATCTTTATTATTTCCCTTCTCCTGGCTTCAGGCTTTATTTCTGTGTTCCTTTTTTAGCTCCTTAAGGTGTAAAGTTAGGTTGTGTATTTGAGACTTTTCATGCTTCTTGTTGTAGGCCTGTATTCCCCTATACTTCCCTCCTAGGACCACCTTTGCTGCATCCCAAAGGTTTTGGACTGTCATATTTTCATCTTCATTTGCTTCCATGTATTTTTTTTTCTTTGCATTTCTTCCATAATCTCCTGGTCAACCCATTCATTCTTTAGAAGGATGTTCTTTAATCTCCATGTATTTGTGGTCTTTCCAAATTTTTTCTTGAGGCTTATTCCAAGTTTCATAGTGTTGTGGTCTAAAAATATGCATGGTATGATCTCAGTCTTTTTATACTTGTTGAGGGCTGATCTGAAACCAAGTATGTGATCTATTCTGGAGAATGTTTCACATGCACTCAAAAAGAATATGTATTCTGCTGCTTTAGGATGAAATGTTCTGTATATATCTGTTAAGTCCATCTGGTCCAGTGTGTCATTCAATGCCATTGTTTCCTAGTTGATCTTCTGCTTAGATGATCTATCCATTGTTGTAAGTGGGTGTTAAAGTCTCCCATTACTCTTGAAACTTACGAATGAATTTATGTTTGTTATTAATTGATTTATATATTTAAATATTTGGGAACTTTCAAGTTGGGGGCATAAATATTTACAACTGTTAGATCTTCTTGATGGATAGACCCCTTAATTTTGATGTAATACCCTTCTTCATCTCTCGTTACAATCTTTGGTTTAAAATCTAGTTTGTCTGATATAAGTATGGCTACTCTGGCTTTCTTTTAGTGTTCGTTAGCATGATACATGGTTCTCTATCCCCTCACTTTCAATTTGCAGATGTCTATAGGTCCAAACTGCATCTCTTGTAGGCAGCATACAGATGGGACTTGTTATTTTATCCATTTATCCTATGTCTTTTGATTGGAGCATTTAGTCCATTTACATTACATTGATTGTTGAAAGATATAAATTTAGTGCCATTGTGTTACCTGTAGAGTTGGGTGTTTCTGGTGATGTTCTCTGTTCCTTTCTAGTCTTTGTTGCTCTTGGTCTTTTTTCCCCCCATTCAAAGAGGCCCTTTAATATTTCTTGCAGGGCTGGTTTAGTGGTCATAAACTCCTTCAGTTTTTGTCTTGGAAACTCTTTATCTCTCCTTCTATTCTGAATGACAGCCTTGGTGGATAAAGTATTTTGGCTGCATATTTTTCCCATTCAGCACATTGAACAGATCATGCCACTCCCTGCAGGCTTGCCAAGTTTCCTTGGACAGATCTGCTGTGAACCTGATCTGTTTTCCCTTGTAGGTTAAGGACTTTTTTTCCTTTGCTGCTTTCAGAATTCTTTCCTTGTCTGTGTATCTTGTGAATCTGACTATGATATGTCTTGTTGATGGCTGGCTATTGTTGAATTTAATGGGAGTTCTCTGTGTTTCCTGGATTTCGATGTCTGTTTTCTTCCCCGGATTAGGGAAGTTGTCAGCTATAGTTACTCAAGTAAACCTTCTGCTCCTTTTTCTTTCTCTTCTTCTTCTAGGACTCCAATGCTACAAATGTTATTATGCCTTAAGGAGTCTCGGAGTTCCCTAAGTCTACATTTGTGATCCAATACCTTTCCCTTTCTTTTCAGCCTATTTTCCATAATTTTATTTTCTATACCACGGATTCATTCCTCTGCTTCATCCATCTTCACTGTCATTGCATCTATTCAGCTTTGCATCTCGGTTATAGCATTTTTTATTTCGGCCTGACTAGTTTTTAATTCTTTTATCTCTGCAGTGGGAGTCTTTAGTGTCTCCTATGCTTTTCTCAAGCCCAGCTAGTACCCGTATGATTACTGTTTTAAATTCTGGTTCAGACATCTTCCTTGTATCTGTATTGATTAAATCCCTGACTGTGACTTTCTGTTCTTCCTTTTGGGGTTAAATTCCTCCATCTTGTCATTTTGTCTGGGTCAGTTTTTTGGTGTGATTGTTAGCAAAGCCTGTTGTATTCCTGCTCCTGATGGTAATGGCTATATTACTAAGAGGTCAAAAAAAAAGGTTAGGGGGTGATGGGAAGCTAGATCCTTGGTGTGTTTTGGTCTGCCTATAAAAGAAGATCCCCCCCCCCCCAAAAAAAGGGAAGCTAGATCCTATGTCCCCTAGAAGTGAAGCTTTGCAGCACTCTATGATCATCAGACTTGGTGCCTGCGAGGCGTCTGAACAGGTCTTCTGGGGGTGGGACCTGCTGGACTGATTCTCAGATGGACTTGCTCTAGTAGAGCTGCACCTGCAGGGCATAGGCGGAGGTCGGGGGTGGGGAGGGGGGTGTTGGTGTAAGCAGCTCCAGCCTCCACTGGATGGCACTGAAGTCGGTCAACGCTGATGGGGAAGGGAAGGAATGGTGTCATCCTGCTCTTTCGTCCCTGGAGCCGGGAGCTCACACCCGCCACGTTTTTAGGAAGCCCTCACAGAGAAGCAAACTATCACCTTTCTTGTGTACCCAGCTTTTGTCAGACCCCTGCCTTCACCCTGCCTGCATCCAGGCTGCCTGCCTGCTGCGTGGCACAGTACTCCTGTGTTGTATCTCAGGCATGCGGCTGGGTTTCCAAACTCCAAACTCCAAATTTTACCTGCGTGACACAGACCCACGCTGATACTCTGGGGGAGAGTCCTGCCACACTTTTTTCTGTTTGCCAGTTTGTCCCAGAAAAGCGGTCACAGGATCATGCAGCAGTTGGGAGTTTATGGTAAAGCTCTGCACTAAGTTGGCGCCAAGATTTGCTGCCCTCAGCTGGTGTCTCTGTTCCTATGCTAGGAAACTGGGCAGCACACTGGTGCCACTGGTTCTTTCTATCCCCAGAGAGGCCGTCACTCCCAAATGCACTCCAAGCAGGGGAACTGTTTCTCCCCGTGTGACCCAGGGGATCCTCAGGCTACACTGTCCACCCCTGGGTCTCCACCCTCCTTCCCACAGGAGCACCGCCTGCCAGACACTAGCAATGGTGCAGACTTGTAAAGCTTCAGACTCTGCGCTCTGCTGCTCATGACAACGTGTGGCAGAAGCCCCTCTGCTTTTCCCAGTCAATGGTTTTGGGGAAGAGTCTTCCGTGTGCGGTCCACTATGCATGCTTTCGCTATTTCTCTCTCTCCTTTCTCTATGGTCAGGGCTCCCTCCCCACTGCAGCATCCACAGTTCTCTTCTCCCCCAAACCAACCTTCTGTAGCCCCTACCCTCCCCAGTGTGGTTTTTTTCACCTCTAGTTGTGTAGTTTTGCTCCCTCAGTCCTCAGATTAATTTCTTGGGTGTTCAAAATGATTTGACATTTATCTAGCTGTGTTTGAGGGATGAGGCAAGCTTAGGGCCCCCCACTCCTCCACCACTTAACTCCTCTCTGTATCTCATTTTTACATAACCAACAAGATCATCAGAAAAAACAGAACTCACTTTAATAAACTCTGAGAGCATTATGACATCCTTTATATATACATCTGTCCTTATTCTAAATGATTAAGACTTAAATGCTTTTCAGTTTATATCAATCTGTGATTTCATTTAAATCCTGGCCTGTGCTTTTTCAGTTGTTATTTTGAATCAAATAGAGAATCTTAAATTATCCTGTAAAATTGCATCTTGTTAGATTTAGCCATTGTTCCAACCTACTAAGTTTTCTGAATTCTGAAGCCGTCATCCAACTATATCCAACTATCCCTTAGCGCTTCCTGCCAAGAGTCATCAGAAAGCCTGATAAGCATGCTTTTCATAGCTTCACCTGTGTCATTAGTAAAACTGTTAACGTATGGCAGGGTTGAGGTCCAAGACGGCCACGAACATTAAGACACTCTCCCAGAGGACGTGGATCAATTATCACGTTTTAGGTAAGTTGCTCTTGAAATTTCTAAAGAAGGTGTAGGGACAGAAGGCAGGCCACCCCAAGATGGGCCACTCTGGTGTGAAGATTATTCTCAGTTGAAGGCAATGGGGACCCCGAGGGCTCAAGAGAAACTTCTGCCTCTCCCTTAACTGCACAGAAAAATCTACAGTGGGGGTCTAAGAGTTATTTCCTGAGATAAAAATTTTTTTCTATCAGAGTTGTCCTCTTATTTATTTTATTTATTTGAGGGGGGGGGGAGCGTGTGTGTGTGTGTGTGTGCGCGCGCATGCAAGCTGGAGAGGGGGGAGAGGGAGAGAGAATCCCAAGCAGGCTCCACACTCAGCATGGAGGCCGATATCAGGTCTCAATCTCACGACCCTGGGATCATGACCCAAGCTGAAATCAAGAGTCAGATGCTCAAATGACTGAGCCACCCAGGCACCCCTCACTGAGATAAATGTTATCTGACTGACACATCTGTAAGGCAGGCCAAACATCTAACGACTAGGTATCTACTCCTCTCATTGCCCTGTGAAGTGCATTCCTTCCCTCAGAAGTCCCAGACCCCTGCCCCCTTCTCCTTAGTTCAGAACGACATATTTGAGGAGAACTTCAACGACCTCCACTTTGACCTCAAACTTTCTAAGTGATTCAGTTCTTCTGTCCAGTTTCTCTCTTAACTCACGGGAACCAAAACCACCCCCCTCAAGCAAAAAGGTCTGCCCTCAGTCAGCAAGACCCCATATGACTGACCCCCCAACATGTGGGGTCTTGACTGATGACTGACTTGACCTTCACAGCCCACCTTTGCCTCACATTTTTCTTATATAAACCCAGAAGTACTTTTGGCACTCTGGAGACAGTCTGAGATGCTCATCTGCTGGCCTCCCAGTGGTGGTCTCAGTGAAATCAATTCCTTTCTTGTTTCACCACATCTCGTTTCTCTGCCTTTGGATTTTGTCAGGGGTGAGCAGCTAAACCTCATCTGTTTGGGGACCCCGGAGCCAGGTGCTCTTATACCCCTGGGCCCCAGCTACATATATATTTCATTTTGCCAGTCTCTGGAATTTCCGTATCTGTGTGGATTCCCCATACATATGCTATTAAATTGGGTTTTTCTCCTGTTAAGCGGTCTCATGTTAATTAGATTCTCAGTCCGGCCAGAAGGGCAGGAAGAATTCCTATCTGACTGTCGGTGTAGGTGGCAAGATGCTTTAACTCGCTGGCCACCATTGCCCAGCACACTGCTGAGGCTGACAGATCCCAGGACAACTGACAAGCAGCCACAGAAAGTGAGATTTCCCACCACATCAGCTTCCCGGAAATCTCCCCCTGCAGAGTGGATGGGGCAACACTGATGAGAGTCCTTTACTCGCTTTCTAAATTGAGATTAGCAGGAGAAAAGGTTTGTAGAACTAGTTCCTTGGGCTTAGCGACTCTTTGGTTAAATTTGGTAGAGTACACATGGGTTACTCATCCATTTCCTCCCAGAGGTGGTCTTTGTTTTCCTTCGGCTGTGCCTTTTGTCTGTCATCTGTTGCTAAAGGCCATCTCGGAAGCCAAAGCCACAAAATTGGTGGGCATGGGCCAAGCACTTAAAAGCTGCTAGACCCTCAGGAAGACTCCTATGATAGGACCAACTGGTCACAGAACAGGGTAGACAGACACTAGGTCACCTGCCACCTGCAATGAGGCACACTCTAAAACAACAGTCTCCAAACCAACAGCACATCCCTCTTAGTTATTAGTGTGGCTTAAGGAAACCTAAGGCTTAGATAAAGCTGTTAGATTTTTCCTTTTATCTTGTTCTATGTCCTAGGAGCTTGGCTTTATGACCAATGGGAATATTCTCTTTGGTCTCCACCATCCAGAGGGTGCGCTTGGTGGCCAGTTGAATAGGCCGGGGATCCAAGCCTCTTTCTCTCTGTCCAGCTGTGCCAGCTCTCAGGGGTATCTGTCATGAGAGGTTCCAGTCCAGAGGAACCTGTGTCATCTCAGCCTTCATTGCTTGATTAGCGCTGGAAAGTCCCATTCCAGGAGCACCTGCTTGGTGTTGGATTAGCGGATCTGGGACTGGAGGCATCTCATATTCTCGCGGGAGACTGAACACGGCATTTTCACCACACCACCCTTATTGCCGCCTGTGCCTTTGCTTTCCTAGGCTAATTTTAGGAGTAAACTTTTGGACCATGGGAGCTACATCATTTATGCCCTCTGGATGCCTCTTGCATCTTTGGTTAAACCACTAAAAGGCGTATTGGCTTGAGTTGCTATTAATAGATCCAACTCACCAATGTCCAGACAATAGATCCTTTAAATAGGCTATATTTAGATTAAAAAAAAAAAAAAAAAAAAAAAAAAAAAAAAAAGCTCTCAATTGTCTTATTAATGTAATGGCTAGCCTCAGGGACTCCCTTGACCAGATAAAAGAACAGAAATTAGCCTTAAGATTTAAAAATAAATATCCACATCCAAAGTAAATTCCAGGCTCACCTGCCTGTTTTAACTTCCCTTTCCCTACAAGATTTGCAGAGATCACTCTGGCCTAATCTCTAGGCTCTAAGGTTGCTCATGTAAAAGCTGAAAGCCAGAAAATCTTAACAAAAGCACATGAGACTGGCAATAAGGATTGCTTTGCTCCTACTTTCCAGGGTTCTGTGATCAGGGTTTACTGAAGAGTAGGCATTCCTGTACTATGTCCTTTGCAGGTATATCCTAGACAACCCCCTGCAAAAGAATTTGCATCCTCTGAACAGCGTCGGATCTTTTAAATTATGAAGTACCTTTTACCTCTACTTTCAAATGACCCCACTGAATTCAGAAAGTAATCAGAAAGGCTATTTGACTATATTCACAACTTTCCCTTCACTGAGGAAATAGATGACCAAAATTTCTCCTAGGCCCTTATAACTGCAAAAGGCCAATGTTTAGGGACTAACAGAAGCCAAGGGTAAATTTTGTATCCAGAAAAATGCTTGTTGAAATGCTTCATACATACTTTACAAAGGCAGAAACCTCTTGGTTCCCATTTTAGTTAAAGTTCTCCCTGATAGTTAAAAATGTGAGTCAATCTCTTGATACTCACTCAGGCTCTAATCCAGGTGTTTGGGGAATTAGGAATAACTGCCTTTATTTTACAAATCTCTCTAAAACCAGAACTACAACTCTAGAAACAAGTGAAAGTTCACGTATCTTTACCAATCTCCAAACCTTACCTATTCCTCTCAAAATGTGTGTATGTATTATAAAAGATCAGGATATTGGAACTAAATTCTGTACCTTAAAAAGGTAAATTTTACTTAAAAAATTTTTTTTTCTCTTTTATTCAAGGGGCAGTCGGGGAGGGGGGCAGAGGGACAGAAAGAGAATCTCAAGCAGGCTCTGTGCTCAGAGTGGACCCAACACGGGGCTTGATCCCACGACCCTGGGATTGTGACCTGAGCCAAAATCAAGAGTTGGACACTCAACTGACTGAGCCACCCAGGCCCCCCCAAAAAGTAAATTTTAAATGACAATCACCTTGAAACTCTTTAAAAAAAAAAAAACTTTTTTGAAATTCTTTCTCTGTCCCTTGAAATTAATAATCTTATGTCTTTGAAATGTAAACACAGCCCACAATCTCCTGAAACTGAAGAAAAAAAGAGAAGTATCTTAAATTGGGCCTGTAATGTCCTCTCCACAAATATTAGTAGAAACAAAATTAAGGGGCACCTGGGTGGCTCAGTCGGTTGGGTGTCCGACTTCGGCCCAGGTCATGATCTCACGGTTTGTGGGTTCGAGCCCCGCATCGGGCTCTGTGCTGACAGTTCAGAGCCTGGAGCCTGCTTTGAATCTGTGTCTCCCTCTCTCTCTGCCCCTTCCCTACTCACACTCTGTCTCTCTGTCTCTCAAAAATAAACATTAGGAAAAAAAAAAAGAAAATTAAGATTTTGTTTACATCTTGCCTGTGTATTGTGTGTGTCCGCGTTTTCTCTACCTCTGGATGATATTGCTAAAATTAATTTGTAAAAGACCTTTATTTAGTTGATCTGAAGGCAAGCACTTATAAGGATTGGCCATCCTAAAACTCAGAAAGATAGAAACTAACTCAAATGGGGGCGCCTGGGTGGCGCAGTCGGTTAAGCGTCCGACTTCAGCCAGGTCACGATCTCGCGGTCCGTGAGTTCGAGCCCCGCGTCAGGCTCTGGGATGATGGCTCAGAGCCTGGAGCCTGTTTCCGATTCTGTGTCTCCCTCTCTCTCTGCCCCTCCCCCGTTCATGCTCTGTCTCTCTCTGTCCCAAAAATAAATAAACGTTGAAAAAAAAAATTAAAAAAAATAAAATAAAATAAAAAAAGAAACTAACTCAAATGTTTTTCAAGTTCATGTGACGTGGGACAATATGTGGTATGAAAGCCAATTTAAGGTTGCTGGTTTAATTAAAGCAGACATGTATTTACAGTTATCAGCATTAAATATAAACTTTCATTCTGCTTGTGTTTACTAAAAGTCAAATAAACTTATGGTATCTCTGTTGTAAAATATGTCAGAGGAAAAAAACTCAGAATAACAACTGACTTTGTCTAATGCCTCATGAAGTTTTACAGGTAGGCTAAGCATAACTGTTAAGAACAAGTAAATTAAATAGATGTAAATAAAATAAGAAGGTTTGTAGCTTTTAATTTTTTTTTTCAACGTTTATTTATTTTTGGGACAGAGAGAGACAGAGCATGAACGGGGGAGGGGCAGAGAGAGGCACAGAATCGAACAGGCTCAGGCTCTGAGCCATCATCCCAGAGCCTGACGCGGGGCTCGAACTCACGCACCCAGGCGCCCCTG